TTGTTGTAAGGAATTGCATGACCAACACAAAAGTATATGGTCTGAATTCATCAGCCAATCCCCCGGAGAAATATGGGCACTCTTCTCCCCGTGTGTTTTTCTGCCTCTGAAAATCCACTGAAGGCTCAGCTATGGGCTGCCTCTGACTTCATGGAACACAACAACAATTAGTTTCAATTTGTCAGCCGAGGCTAAACAGGGAAGAAGCCATTTGAAGCTCTCCTTTGGAGATGCCTCTTGGCGAGCACGTAACCGTTCACAAACCTTGCTAACCACTGCATCATAAGGGAAATCCAATCACAATACAGTAAGGTAAAATTCAGTAGCCGATTCCTCCTTTCCCCTGACAACTTGTAATATACATGTAAATATACCCAACACTTTTTTGGTGGCCAGATACCCACTCAAAAGGTCTAAGAATTGCCATATTATGCAATCTGCTTATTTTTCAGGGCTGTTGAATGTTTGTACAGGAGACCAACTTTGTACCACCCTGCTGATGGTCACATCTCCGTTATAGAGGAATCCTTCCTGGAAATCTTTGACATGTGCAAAAGTTTTAAGACACTGACCCTTCTCCTCAGGATTCTGTGTCTTCATCTGGTACAAAAGAATCCTTTCTCCTCTTCCCAGGATGGTTCTGTAGAACACACACGGTTGGGAGGCAAAGGAATTGGTTCAGTGGTAATCGCTGACAGAAGTCAAGGTTGGACTGATGTTGTCCTCAATAAAATTCATTGTACTGATGGTCCAAAGTCTGGCTGGATTTATTTATTTTTTTAAATCATTTGTTTGGTTTCATCTGCTGGTGCGAGACAGCAAGAGTCCCAAGGGCAGTTAGTTCTGTGCCAAACCACAAGAATAATGAAAGTCAGGACTTCCCCTGAGGAACCAGCTTCAGTCTCACAAGAGTAACACCTGCCCAAAGGTAGTAGTTTAGGAACTTCCTGCTGGTTCAGATTTCTAAAAGCGCTTGTACTTAATGCTCACCCTGGCACTCAGGGCACAGAATGAGCAAGGGTGAGTCCGGGAGACCCAGCGACAGGGTGCCTTCCAGAGAACCGAGCCACTGATTGCCTGGATTCTAGTAAGTTCTGCTTGGTGTGTGTGGTTTGTTGTCCTCCTTGCTGGGGTGATCTGAGAGCTGAGCTGAGCAAAACTGCTCCCAGGAGAACTTGACTACATAAATTGCTTTAGGCTGTTGAGTCAGAGGGAAGGGGGATTCTTGGTAACGCATTTGTCAAATCCCAAGTAACGTTACAATGAGGAGGTTAAGCACTGACTGAGTGTGGGTAGAATTGTGGGTAGAATTGCTTGAATGAAATGAGAGTTGTTAGTTTTTTCTTTGTGGGCAATGACAGGAAAGGCAAGCTGAGCTATGAAAAGATTTCGCTCTTTTTCCTTTCAGAGGAAGGAAGAGCAAAGTGGTTAAGATACAAACTCTCGAGGCGGGATGCCTGGGTTAGAATTCTGGCTCCTGCTTCTTTTTAATTATGTGATCTAAGGCATGTTGCTCAATTTCTAAGCTGACCGTAAAGCAGGCAGTTTAAAAATAATACAGGGATTGTTTTACTATTAATGAGGTACATATTTGATTATGTGTGTGTATATATAGATACAAAATCTATTTCATATAGATACTTGGAATATATCAGTATTTAACAAATATTAACCATTTCTATCTTAGCTGGGAAAGATCTCATTGTGGCTGTTGAACACTCATTATATACTAAGTGCTCTTTGCCAGACCACAACTCCTGTTCATGACAAGCCTAGATGGTTAGAATTATTACAGACAAAGAAATGGAAGTGTAAGAGGTGCATTATTATATGTTCAAGATTGTATAGCTCGTAAATAATGGGGAGGGAATTAAAACTGAGATTACAAAGTGTATCCCCTCCTGTCTCATCAATCATCTTGTTTGATGGTGGATTCAAAAGCCAGGAAGGAGTGGGTCCTCCGCGAGCCTCGGGAGCCCCTCACAGACACTGAAAGGGCAGAACCCCACCGCACACCCCACCATTCTCACTGGGCAGGAAGTGTCAGTGACAAGTAGCAGGACCTTCTACTGGGAGAGCAAGACACATGTCCAGAGGCAAGCTGTTCTTTCTCTCAGAAATAAAGCTTTACATTTGTAAAATGATCGGCTTCGGCAAGCTCTGGTGGCCTAGTGGCAAGAAGCTGCAACTGCAATCTCAGAGATGCACGGTTCGAATCCACCAGATGCTCTGCTGGAGAAGGAGGAACAGTCTCCTCCTGTACCAGTCAGATCTGATTTGATGGTACACACAAAAAATAATAAAATAAATTGAAAAAATAAAAAGATCGGCTTCATAGATACTAACAGAGGCATAAAAGGCATAACAAATGCAAACTCATTTTCGACCATGTAAAAGGTTTATAAATAATTAGTATCTTAGGAAGAAAAAAAATGAGTTTTGGCTTTTCTACAAAGCACAGTCAGAAATAGCTTATGGTAAACACATTACCCTTAGAAATCTATCATCCGTGGCTCAGGCCTCCAGCACAGCCCTCTGACATGATCCTTGAGTCACCTGGCTAAATGCCATATGGGAAGGATAGGATAGTGAAGTCCCGTGATGGATAGATGGAGGTGAGAGTGATGAGCTGAAAAAGTGCCCTGTCCTACATCACACAAGAAAATCCTTGAAATCAGAGAAAGCCTCAAAGACTTTCTCCAAAATCTTAAGGAGAGATTTTGGCAGTATATCTCTGGTAGCTAGGTTATTTCCTCTTCTTTGTGCAGAACTTCTCTCTCGATGAACAAAGATCTTCTGCTTTGGCAGCTCGGCACCTCTCCCCGACATTAAGGCTCCTCGCATAGATCTGAGTGTCCTCAGAGATAAGGACACCAGCTCTTCTGCAGGTCGTCAATGTAAACCTTTAAGATCTCCTGAAAAGATTGCAATTTGTTCAAATGATCACCATTATCAATATAAAAAGGAAAACTTAAGGGGAGCTCTGGTGGCCTAGTGGCAAGAAGCTGCACTGCAATCCCAGAGGCGCACCGTTCAAATCCACCAGATGTTCTGCCGGGGAGGGAGGGACGATCTTCTCCTGTACCAGTCAGATCTGATTTGACGGTATACACACACACAAATAATAAAATAAAAATTAAAAAAAATTTAAGAAAAAAAAAAAGGATACCTCACCAGACAAGATTTTTTTCCAAGACAGAGCAGGTGTGATTTCAGGCTTCAGGAAAGCTCCCACTGGACTTCCCATAGTTCCTACCTGCTCCACACAGACCACACAAGTGTAGTTAGGAAATGTGTGCTCTTAAATGTAAGACTTAGAACTTGGTTTTAAAAAATGGGGGGGGGGAAACCACCCCAGTATCTTGCTGTGAATCATTGACAATTCTAGGAGCAATAAATCAATTTATGTCAAGAGAAGGGGCAACCCAGGAAAGGCGGAAATAGAACTCAATGCTTTCTTTTCTTCCCAGTACTTTAATGAAGGAGTCTCAGTGGCACACTAGACAAGATGAAAGCCTAGGAAATCCTGGAAGGCAATTCTGCTTTGTTTTCTAAGGTGGCTATGAGTCGGCCCACTAGCTCTTACATTCGATGTTGGTCATGGGTCATGGGTCATGGGTTCATGCGCTAACATGGATGATGGCTAGGACAGCCCTCCACCTCTCAAGTACAGCTTCAAAGCTGCAGTGTCAAGCAGCGTTGGGCAGAAGCCCTGGTACTTGTTTGAAGCTTCTTACTAGTGAGAGGCAGTTCCCAGCATGGGGAAGAGTTTGTCTTGTGCTTCCTGTTGGCCGGGAAGACTCTCAGTTGATTGGCTCCCTGGCTTTCATTCCAGCCTCTGCCTTGACCATACCACTCCTCCTCAGAGTGGCCGTCCCCTAAGAGCCCTTCTGTCAGAACTACCAATGAAGTAGAGACAGAGTAAGCTCAGGGCAGACTGCTCCCCAAACCATCTTTGCGATGCAACCTCACAATGGTCCATTTGGTGAGCAGAAGCTGCTTGGGCACAGCCAATCAAGAAGGAAAACACTATTAAAGAAAGAACAGAAGGAGGAAGAAAGGGAATGAATGCATCTCGTTCCTGAGCATTACCCCAATCCTCCACTAATGCTGGCTTTTTGGTAAAGAGTTGTGATGCAAACCCGAAGGTATTTGGTTTGAATCTACCAGCTTCTCCATGGAAGAAACATGAGCAGTCTCCTCCCCTGTGATTTCCTGCCTCTGAAAACCCACTGGACGGTCAGCTATGGATAGGCTCTGACTTGATGGTACATAATAACAATAATAGCAACAATTGTTCAGTGACTTATCAGTGAATACAAAGGTCCGCCCACCAGAAGAAGAAGAAGAAGAGGCCAGAAGAAGAATTGATGCCTTTGAGCTGTGGTGTTGGAGAAGAGCATTAAACAGTCTTTAGATAGCCAGGTGAACAGACAGACATGCCTTGGAAAGGGTGCAGCCACAGTGTTCTTTGGAGGCAAGAATGATGCGGCTTTGCCTCACGTACTTTGGGCATGTTGTTAGGTGGGCCTGTTCCTTGGAGAAGTGCATGATGCTAGGAAGGGTGGAGGGTCAAAGAAGGAGAGGAAGACCCTCAACCAGGTGAACTGACATGTGACTGCCGCAATGGGCTTTTGCGTGTTGGGAAGTGTGAGGGTGGAACAGGATAGAACAGGGTTCAGATCTTTTGTTCATAGGGTCGCTAAGAGTCGTACTCGACTCAACAGCATCTAACAACAACAATCAGTGAATGAGGAGCTCTAGTGGTGCAGTGGTTGAAACAGGCAACTGATAACTAAAATGTTGGTAGGTTGAATCTATCAGCTGCTCAGTGGGACGAACGTGTGGCCGTCTTGCATTAGTGATGACAACCACATAGGGTCACTATGAGTTAGAAATGAGTCAAAGGCAGTGGGTTTCGGGAAATCAGTGAGTTAATATTTTGGGGGACAAACTAATTCTTAAACTTTCTTTTCAACAGGCCAGTACAGACAACTGTAATGGAAACCAAACCTCAGAAGAGCCCAGGTACCCAAGGGGCTTCTTTCTTTCAGAGAGAAAACTCTTTTCTCAGAAATGACAATTCCTATCTAGCCAATCAGAATAGAGAAGATGTCTTTCACAGAGACAATGGGGAAATTCTGGGTCAAGAATTCCGAATTTGACAAATGAGGCTATTAGATTCAGTTGATTGTTTTGTAAGAGCTCACCTGTCTAGAAATTGAGCATTTTCTGATTTTTATATTATTGAAATTTTAAATTATTATTAATTTTAATGAAAATTTATAGACACTCTGGATTTCCAGTCATTCATTGTTGTACTTTACTCCCTGCCCACCCCTTCCCCCCCAGTTCACTCTTTTCTTTGAAAAGTAAAAGAAAAATTCTTTCATTGGTATACAACCCCTCCCCCCGCCCCAGGGCCACTCCACTGTGCAGCCTTCATTCTGGACTCCTGTCATAACAATAATAACTAATCACATATCCCTTTTAAACAGTTCTCTCCCATTTTCTAATTTTTTTAAATGGGTAACAAGCTCCATTCTGTTGTTTAGAGAAAATTCTATGGCCTAGCAGAGGCAAGAGAAGGTTTCCTTCATTTTACATGAAATTCTTTCTTAGAACAGCTGTCTAAATTATGATCAGGGTTTATTTTGAAGGTGGTTGTTAGTGCGGTGTGCTATCGAATCAATCCTGGCTCACAGGATTCTACGTGACAAAGGTGAACTGCCCCCGTAGTTTCCCAGGCTGTAATTGTTATCGAAGCAGGTGGCCACATCATTCCTGCCAAGGAGGCTGCCGTTACTGTTGATGCCGTCAAGTAGACTGTGACTCACAGCAACCCTATGAGCAAGACATCTGGACCTTGTCCGATCCTGTGCCATGCTCACTATCTCTGATACGCTCAAGCCCATTGTCAGTCACTGTATCAATCCATCTAACTGAGGGTCTTCTGCTCCTGTGCTGACCTCCACCCTTCCAAGCATGACATCTTTCTCCAAGGACTGACCTTTTGACCAAATGCTTCATTATTGTACTATGAGGCTTCTTTATTGTGTGGTTAGTCCAAATGCAAATCTTGTGGCCACAGAATTTATATAGCAAGTGGTATTCTTATGTGCTGTCAAGTTAGAACCAACTCCTAGCCGACCCTCCAGCGGCTTTTCAGAGGTTATAAACTCACAGACGGAGCTTGCTCATCTTTCTCCCAAGAAGCAGCTAGTGGATTCAAACCTCTTGCCTCTGGATTGACATCACTATTCTGTACACACTAGACCATCAGAGCTCCCCTGCTACCAACATTCTTTAAGAGCTCTGGTAGTCTAGTGTGTTCCAAGCTCTGTGGGATTATGTTTTGTGCTTCTAAGGGAAAATTCAGCAGTTGGAAACCACCCCTTGCTCTTCTGGAGAAAGGAGAGCTGTCTCCTGTGGTGAAGGTTTATTTACAGCTCTGAAGACCTGATGGAGTGTCACCATGACTCAGAATCAACTTAATGGCAAAGGTTATTTCTAGAGTAGGGTGTCTTTTGAGTCCATCACTTTTGAGATTAAAAAAGGAGATTAGATTATAGAGCAGAAGAGAGATAGGGGAAGAGAGGTGCTAAGATACCCCAAGTCCTCCAAGGAACTAGGAAGAAGCAGAAGCCAGAAAGACAACGACCTTGCTCCAGAGCTGACAGACAGAATGACTTCCCCTAGGACAGGCACTCTCCATTTGAACCTCCAGACTCCTACACTGTGAGCCTCAGTTTCCACAAAATCATCTACAATAGTAATTATGTCTGGTGGCTTAGTGCAAAGGAATTGTGCAGACAACTCAAAGGTTGTTTGTTGTTGTTAAGTGCTGTCAAGTCGAGCAAGACTCATAGCGGCCCTAGAACAAAAGACCTGAATCCTGTTCTATAACTATTGTCATTTCTCTAAACTCAAAAGTATGTGGTTCAAATCCACCAGCTAATTGCAGGAGAAAGATGAGCAGTCTCTTCCCATGTCATTTACTGCCTCTGAAAACCCATGAAGAATCAGCTATGGGTTGGTTCCCAACAACAACGAATGAAGGCACTGTATACTTCATATAGACCTTTTTCTTCCCCCCCAAAGAAAAGCAAAGCAAAACTACTTAACAGGTAGTTTTAAGAGTAATACAGAGTTATCTTGTTCCTGCAGCTGGTATTGCAATGAGAACTGAGACAAAATTTGCTCACTGCCAGAGCATCCCTGAAATGTTCTAAAAATAAGAGGGCCTTAAAAGGTGTGAGTTGAACCCAGGTGCTCCTCAAAGCAATCTGGATGGAGGTTAAAGCACAGCAATGGCAATGGATGGGTGAGAAGCGTACATTTGGTCCTCTGTCTCCTCGGGCTGTTACAGATACACTAACATTTTTTCAGTTCCCTCCTCCCCCAGCTGAGTAACAGGGAACGCTTTGCAGAAATAAAAGAGTGTTTTCCAATTGAAGCAACTGTGGCTTCTTGAACAAATTTACCAGGGGGGAGAAAAAAAATTCTGTTCACTTTCTTTTATTAGGCAAACAATTTACATTCAATTATGAAAATGAAGTCTGCAAACAAGATTACTTTATCAAATCACCACCCTCCCAGCTTTTCTTCTCTGCGGTGAGTATTCCTCACAGCCTAACAAGCCTCGCACCACCCTCATGAATATTCTTCCTTTCACTCCCCCTCGTACCCATCAAGATTTAACTGAGATGCGAAACTTTTTTCATTTCTCAGAACTCTTGGAAAAAGCGGTTCTTCATACTAACAAAGAGTCGAGAAAGCGGCTTTAGTCTTTCCTATTACAAAGACCAGAATCAACGAGGGTCTATTGAAATTGACCAGTGAGTACTCAAGCCAGGAGCGGTCCCACAAGCAGCAAAAATAAGTAAAAAATGAACAGACCAAATGGAAATGGAAATTTCTGCTGGAAAAGGAAAAGCTTTAAACTTATTGCAATACATATTCTTGTAAGGGAGCTGAAGTCGCATAGCTTGAACAGATGATAGCTAAACGGTTATTTCGTTTCCTAAAAATATAGTTCATAAGAATTCTGTTAGAAAGGACTTTCTAACTAACTTTTCATTTTTAAACTGTGTGGATGAGAGATGGCAGATGAAATTATCATTTCATAAAGGTAATAGATTTTTAAAAAAACCTTATTCTTCCTCTTTAAAAAATTATGAATAAAAATTTCAAAGACCTAACAATAATTTGTGGACCCAAGAATCAAAATAAACATGAAATGTTTGAATTGAACTTCAAGCTAAACAAAGTGATCTCAACCAGTGAGCAAACCAGTGCCAAACTTATTGTCTAAAAGTATTGAACAATTAAAAGTACTCATCAAGTAGCTTGATATATCGATATTTTCTTCACCTTGGATCTGCCTATAAAGCATTAGTTTGTTTTCTTTTTGGTTGTGTATTTGCATTTGCTTAGTACTCTATGTCTCTATCAAACAGAAATTTCAGTGTGGAAATTGGCATAAGTAACCCTGAAAAAATGCAGTCTGTACAGAAGATGTTTAAATGCCACCCTGAGGAGGTGATGTCTATCAGAACCGCCAACAGGGATTTCTTCCTCATTGGCCATGACAGGTGAGTAGTAAGAAGACAACAGGTATATTCTGTGCACATATATATATATACACACACATACATAAAAATTTTCACAGTAACAAGTAGTCAATGAATTTTCAACAAAAACTCATGACCACACACTTAAATACCAATTTGGCAATATGCACCATTTGCTAAAATACCCTGGAAAGTCACTGTTACCCCCTGCATTTTATGAGGTGGGATCAGGTGGGGGAAGGAGATCATACACAAAAATAAAATCTCTGTCCTTCCAGAGCAACAAAAATGGGGTGGGTTTTTCCCAGTGAAATTAAACAACTAAAAACCTACGACACAAACATCGATATGGGTACCATATAAGGGATTCTACTCATCCTTGGAACCCTGGTGACATACATGTCAAACTGACAAGCAAAAGGTATACAGTTCAAGTCCACCAGTCACTCTATGAGCTAAGCTGAGGCTTCTGCTCCTGGAAAAATCCACAGCCCCAGGAGACCCGGGGTGGGGGTGGGGGTGTCACAACAAGCTGGAAATCAAGTGGGCGACAGTGCGTTTGGTTTGGAGTTGGTGTTGATCCCAGAAGGTTCTCCCTCCCACTTCAGGGTGGCGGCTCTGGCTCATGGAGCCCCTTCCACCAGGCTTTGGAAGCTGCAGATCTTCATAGGACACTGTCCATCTTGCTTCTACAGAGGGACTGGTGGACTCGAACCACTACATTCTGACATTTCACACACCACCAGAGCTCAATCACCTCACCACTCAATACTTTGCTGGCAGAAGAGACTTTTCTTAAAAACTCGATACTTTGCTGGTAGAAGAGACAGACTTGTCTTAAAAATATCTGCTCAACAGAGAAGCTGAGATGCAGGGGGGGGGCTGCACAGAGGCCCAGCAAATGTCAGAGTTTGAAGCACCTTGGCGTGTTACCATCACTCAGAACACAACACCTCGTCTTTAAATTGTCATGCAAGTCAACAGGAAGTAAAAAAAGAAAGAAAAAAAAGCATGTGATTTGCACGAATTCGGGTGAGACACACTCTTCATAGACACACGGGCTTAGGAAGAGGGAGAGGCCCACCTGGATAGGGCACAAAACGGCACTGACAGGTTAGGGGGCCTGCACTACAGCACAAAAGAAATCAGCGTCAAATCAAAGCCCCAAGCCCCGTGATTACTGTTATTTTCTATGTTTCTTCCCCTTCCTCTATGCTATCCTCCTGCAGAAGGCATGAGGGTTAATTCTAGTCTGCAACTGTGGAGGTGGTGAGGGGTGGTGGGCCATTTAAGCTACTCAGAAAGGGGGGGGGGAAGAAAAATCCTTATTTCCCCGCACCTTGTTCCCACTGCCTGCTCAAAACCTTAATAAAAGAATCCTTCTCTGATTCAAAAGGAGTTCAGGTGCTATTGTTGCCACATGCTGGCTGAGAGTTTATTCTTATTAACAGGGAGAAGATTAAAGATTGGGTCTCTTTCTTGTCATCATTTTGCCGGGGTCTACGAGGAGCTAACCAGAATACAGAGGTGACTCTACACTGTTAATGAAATCACAGGGTGCCCATGAACAGCCCTTTTACAAAAGGGGACAATCATAGCTTTTTCCCTTTAGCAACTGGCATTAATACAAGAAAAATATAAGTGAGAAAATGTATGTGCTTGTTATTTTTCTGGTTAACAATGGAAAAAAATACTTTTATGTTTTGAGAGAGAACTAAAATACAGACGCTTCGGATTTTCATTTGACTGGGGGAGTGAGAGTTTTCACGGCAGCCATTTTTAATAGTAACTAAAAGGTAATTTACCATCACTGTTAAAGTATAATTAAGGCTTCTAAAGAAATCTAAGCTGATTCCTATAAGAATACTTTTCATCTAACTTACATTTTAGTAAAATGTCTCTTTCATTTAACTGCTCTTGGCATTAAGCTTTTTATTTCGTCCATAAAGACCTTTGCTGACGTACACAAGTCCTTTCTTGAGGTAGATTTTTATAAGTGGAACTTTGCCCTTTAGGTATACTTTCTGATATGTTATCTAAGTTCTCTCCTTGCAATGAAACAATAATTGAGGAGACTGCAAAGCCTGTTTAAACAGTAGGACCCCAAAGAAGGGGTGTAGAGAAAAAAATGGTTGCAAAGACAGGTTGAGAGCAAAGTCTGGGGTCTGTGAGGGTCAAGCTGAGAGACCTCCAGGGCTTAGTAACAGGGAAAAGGCAAGATCAGCTCTTGCTCTGGGGCTATACTGCGCCGTGCTAATTCCTTTTTCATCACCAGGAAAGTTTCCCATTGGGTGACAGACGGCCTACTTCAGACCCCAGCCCTCTCCCTGATTTTTCCAGTCCACTGGCCGCTGCCAGCTCCACCTCGTCGAGAACCAGCCTGCCAAACATGGTAAGCGGTCACCTCATTTTCTCTCGGGGTACCATTTCAGGAAGCCAACAAATATTTCAGTATCTTAACAATTAGAAGTGGAACTGACACCTTATCCACCTTCCTCAAAGGCTAAGCTGCTGCATGAATGTATTTCAGCTAATGCTTCTCCTTGGACGTCTCTGCTGTCAGCACACGAGTGAGCCCTACTCGTCTCCACCTTCCTCTTAACGCATCCACTCATTTTGGATGCTCCTGCACACATGGGTCAGGGAGGCCTCTGGCTTAAAAAAAATCCTGGCTGGGAATCTTTTCCTTCCTTGACATCCAGGGCACAGACTACAGCTCTGCAAGATTCACAAAACACCCATCAGTTTCCTGGCATGCCATCTGCACCCCTTCAGAGCTTCTTACTCATTTCCTTCACTTACTCTCATCAGTCTCCCTCACAATATATGTTGTTGTTTATGATATGCTCTC